CTATTTCATTCCTCTCATCTCTAGCACCTAATATATTCTCACGATTGGCATTTGGTTTATTTTCTCTCTATTCCCACTTAGAATGTCAGCTCCATGGAGCAGGACTTTTTAAAGCCTGTCTGACACCTGGTAGGTCCTCAATAAGTGTTTGCTGAATAAAAATCTGGTTCTGAGCAATGTTTGGGCACCATCTGTATACTGGGCTAGGTCAGAATACCCTGTTGACTGGGTGTCCATGGCTCACGCCTGTCATCCTAGCTATTCAGGAGGCTGAGATCTGAGGCTCACAGTTCAAAGCCAGCCCCAGCAGGAAAGTCCATGAGACTCCTTTCTCTAATGAACCACCAGAAAATCAGATGTGGAGCTATGGCTCAAGTGGTAGAGCTCTAGCCTTGAGCAAAAGAGCTCAAGGGACAGCACCCAGGCCCTGAGTTCAAGCCCCACAACTGACAACAACAAAAATCCCTTCAGTGTATTTGGTCCCAGACTCCAGTGCCTACTCTCCTAGAAGGAAGGTAAATCTTTGCCCTCCCTGCCCCCGTCAACTTTGGGCTCCTTAGGCTCCGGGCCAGGACCTGGCTGGTCCCCACCTTGGACTGCCTCATGAAACCCCAGATCTTTCAAGTCCACAGGCCAAGGCCAGAGGTTGGGAGGAGGAAGGGCTGGGCCTGCACTTTGTCACTAGAGATGGAGGCTGGAGGCGTGGGGGAGGGGAGACAGAGTCCAAGCTCATCTCCCAGATGGGCCCCAGGCTGGGCCACCCCCTCTTCCCTAGCCTCAGTTCCCCTTCTTTCCCATGGAAGCTTTCTTTAGTGTGTGTGCTGGTCCTGAGCCTTGAACTCAGGGCCAGGGCACTGTCCCATAGCTCTACTTCCCCCTTTTTGCTGGTTATTTTATTTTTTTGGGGGGGGGGTCCTGTCATGAGGCCTGAACTCTAGGCCTGGGTGCTGTCCCTCAGCATTCCTTGCTGGTTATTTTTATTTTTTGGCCTGTTGTGCGGCTTGAACTCTGGGCCTGGGCACTGTCCCTCAGTTCTTCAGCTGAAGGCCAGTGCTCTACTCCTTGAGCCACAGTGCCATTTCCAGTTTTCTGGTGGTTCATTGGAGATAAGCGTCTCACAAACTTTTCTGCCTTCTGGCTGGCTTTGAACCAAAAGCCTCAGATCTCAGCCTTCTGAATAGCTGGGATTACAGGCATGTACTACCTCACCTGGCTGGGATAGATTTCTTTCTTTCTTTTTTTTTTT